GGAGGAGGGGCAGCCTTGTGCTAAGGGGTAGGGATGCAAGCCCAGACCCTTCCTCTCAGTTGGAATGGGCCCAGGGCAGGATTGTTTTTGGGTGCTTTCACCAACACTATTTCATCCCTGGCTACTTACCTTCCCTGAGCAGACAGCGTGTACCCCTGGAAGTACCGGTACCGAGCATACAAATAGAGTAGCCCACAGACAGCAGCCACAGCTAGAAAACAGGAACCAAAATTATCAGCGCAGGGCACAGTGCCAAAAACTTCACAGCCAGAGCTGCAAAGCCAGACAAGGGCCTGAACCAATCACTCAAAATGGCAAAGTGACCACGAGACCTCTGACCGGCTGCTGATGGGGAGACGGGGCCATAAGGGTGAGCACCAAGGCAAGGGCTGGGGAGAAGAGGTGGTGTGGGAGCAGGACCTGGGGGGGGAACAGGAGTAGTGCAGGAGGGGGATGGTTTGGCGGAAGGGGCAGTGCAGGGAGGGAAGGAGTGGTAGGAAGCCTCCGCTGCCCTCTCTGGGAGAGGTAGCCGTGGCTTTTTCATCAGGCTAAAAGCCGTATTTCCGTACACCCTGCTCCTTTAAGAGAAATAAAATGAACTAGTATTCTAGTGCCGGAGGCCTGTAGAAACTACTGCAAGTCAGAGCCCAACGCACTAGGTACTGTATAGCTACTGGCCAAAGATGAGCTAACTTTAGCAGCCTGAGGAATGGAAAGAAGAATGGATTAGTTCACCTCTAAGCAGGGGTGGCCCGTCCACATAGGGTAACTAGGCAGTCGCCTAGGGCACCAAGTTAAATTGCATGGTTCGCCTAGGGCGCCAGCTGCTGGCAGCTAGTCTAGGGCCGCCCCTGCCTCTAAGAGCACTAATTAGCCAGGGAGCAATGCAGTCACTTAAATGGCTCCCTCAGCGCAAGGCTGGCATGTCAGATTAGCAGTATTACAATTCAGCTGCAAAAACCCACTGGCTGTGTCTAGACTGGCCGCTTGAATTTCCGCAAGAACACTGACGATCTCATGTAAGAAATCAGTGCTTCTTGTGGAAATACTATGCTGCTCCTGTTCGGGCAAAAGTCCTTTTGTGCAAAAGCTTTTGCACAAGAGGGCCAGTGTAGACAGCTCAGGTTTGTTTTGCGCAAAAAAGCCCCGATTGCGAAAATGGCGATCGGGACTTTTTTGCGCAAAAGCGCGTCTAGATTGGCTACGGATGCTTTTGCGCAAAAAGTGCTTTTGCGGAAAAGCGTCCGTGCCAATCTAGACGCTCTTTTCCGCAAATGCTTTTAACGGAAAACTTTTCAGTTAAAAGCTTTTGCAGAAAATCATGCCAGTCTAGACGTAGCCACTGAGTTTCATTGAAGTCTCTTCTCTATCTCCCCTTTCTGCAAGCCAAAGCTGCACTTCCCTGAGCTCCAGGAGGGTGTTTGCTTCTAGCAATGAGGTGGCAATGGTTTGATGTAAGTGCCCGCAAAATGGAGTGTCGGCAGCTGAGTGGCCTTTTAATTATTCGTTTGATTTTTACCTTGTTGGAAGAAGAGTCCTGCCACCCATAGGACAGACAGAAAGATTGGAAAGTATTCCGAGCAGTTCACCCTAAGGAGAAGCAGAAACTATCAGTACAGAAAGCAAAATCCCGTATCAGCCCTCCCCCCTTCTCCTCCCCTCCGCCCAGGACAGTGCATTTAGCAATTCATTTTCAAAAATATGTGACATGGAAAGGATCATGCTGTGGAATTATGGGCAATGTAACCAACCCATTTTTTCAGCATCGGGTGCACATGCAGCACCCTAGGGAAAAGCACCAGTAAATTGCTATTTGCGCGGCTTTCTGTCTTTTGAACACTCCAGCTCCGTTTGTTTGGTTTTTTACATGGCAAAAGACAAATGTTTTATGTAAGCAAGTATACAGGGAATCTTCTAAATGTGAAAAGTTCTGCAATTCCATGGACAACTCATCTAAAATGTTGCCAAAATATTCTCCTCTGGGGCAATGCCATATTTGAATCAGAAACAGGCATGCTGCGAAGTTTGTAAAGTCAACACATTTAGCTAGAGAGAGGCGGATGGTTTCTCAGTAGGAAGTAATAAATCTGTGTTTTTTTAAGCCGTATGGAGCAGCTCACCCCTCTGAATCAATTTCCACAGAACTAACCTTCCCAAGGCAGCAATTATCACGGCTCCCCTCCCCCGCAAAAGATGCAACAGAGTTTCTCAACCTGGGATCTCCTCCCATGCACAAAATTAAACGGCGGCTGGTGGGCTGGAACTGACCATTGCACGTCAGGCCTGGTGTGTTTTAAACCAGCGGTTTGCAAACGACGGGGCGCGACCCAAGGCTGGGGGGTGGAATGTCGGGCCCTGGGTCTCGTTGCTGCAGGGGATCAGGTGACCAGTGGGGGGGCTAAGGCAGCTCCCTGCCTGTTCAGGCCCTGCAGACTGCTCTGTGCGCTAGAAGCGGCCGGCAGCAGGCCCAGCTCTTAGGCGGGGGTGGGGATTGTGCACAGAGCTCCCTGCACTGCCCCTGCCTCAAGCGCTAGCTCCACCCTCCCATTGGCTGGGAACCTGCTGCTGAGGGCAGCCTGGTCTGCGGTGCCAGGAGAGGCAGGGAGCTGCCTTCGCCCCCCCCCGCTGCACCACTGACCGGGAGCTGCTCAGGGTAAGCACCACCTGCCACGGCCCTGACCCCCTCCCAAAGCCAGAGCCTCCCCTCCTACACACAAAAACTCCCTTCCTCAGCCCAACCCTGGAGCCCGCCCTCTAGTCAAATGATGTTGGGTCGCAGCATCCACAATTTCCTTCAACTGACTCAAGAGAAAAAAAAAAGTTTGAAAGCCACGGTCTGAAATGAACTCAAGTGTCGAATTTCTGCCAGTCCACACATTTGCTGGGGGAGGAAATACAGCCGATCGGCTGTTCAAAACGTACTGCTGCAGTGAAACAGCCTCCTCCATGTGGACACAAGCAGCAGAACGCGGCTGACGTTCCTCCTCTCCCCTTTTGGAAAAAAAACGGAGGCTCATGGTCATGAGCAAGAACCTGTTTCCAAGGCCTTGTGTCTTTCCTCAGGAACAGCACTGAGTCAGCAGTCAGGGTGGGTACAGGGCCGGACTAAGGGGTGGGCTAGCCGGGCAGCTGCCCAGGGCACCAACATACAGGGGGTGCCCAGGGCGGGGGCCGTGTTAACCCCCATAGCACCTGCCAGCAGCGCCTTTCCCCCCACAGCCGCAGGGCCCTGCACGGCCAGGCGCAGCCCGCTCTGGGCTGCGCGCCATCGGCAGTGGCCGGGCTGACTAGGCAGCGCGTGCGACGTGCGTCCGCCCACACACCCTGGGGGTGGGGCTATGCGTCCCAGGGCGCCAAAATGGCTTGGGCCAGCCCTGGGTGTGTGCACCTGCACTGACCCCTTCACTGGGCAGAGGTTAAAGAAACGCTGGTCTCGGGGCTCCTACAAATCCCTTCCCTGGCACCCCTTTGCTCCACAGTGTGAGTGGGAACACAGACTGGACAGAAGTAACTTAAGGAGCTGGCATTTAACAGGTCAGACTAAAAGTTTCTGTTAAGGGAAATGGCATGACCCCTTCAAAAGATGAGTCTGGGAGTGTAAATTCGTAACTTTTGCAGGACACCGGCAAATAGCTGTGGACGGAACCTGAATGGGAAGATCTGATCTGGCTCTTTCTAACCAGGAGTTCAAGGGAGGTTGGATGTACCATGTGGCTCGGACCTCTCGTTAAGCATAAACACCATGGGTAAGAGAGAAAAAAAAAATCTCTTACTGAGCTCTGAAGACTCTCTCAAATTCCGGTGGGCCTGCAGTACCCGGAGGGGAGACTTTGTACTTCCGCCTGGCGTAGATCACTTGCAGAGAAAAATAGGCTGGAAGAAAACAACAGAAGAGGTAATGTTGCCAGCCTTCCATTGTGGATTACTCAATACACTAGTCCCTGCATTATCTGGTTTGGAAAGAATGGCGTTCTAAAATAGCCAACTTACTTATAGATTTTCATTCCAAAGTCTATGAAAATCAGATACAATTAATGGGTGGACTAAATAAATACCCTATTTATTTTATGTATGTGCTCTGTATTCATGTCTGATTAACAGACTGTAGGGCACAGGCAATTTAGACTCTGACTTGTGCTTTGCATAGCAAGCTCACACGCAGCTAGCAGCGATAAGGGACACAGTAGTGTATACATCATAAGCTAAAGTTAGACACGGTCCAAGCTGCACACTGCCCCATAGCAATGCAGGACTGTTAGCCCCTCGAGTTCAAAAATCACAAGTCAGAAACCCAAAAATTGTGACATGAAAAGAGATCTCAATATTTTGGGGGCAAAAATATTCGAGTGGCGTCCAACCTTCTGGTTAACTCCCTGACCACGCTTGGCATGTGTGGCGTGATTATAGAGGGAAAATTCAACCTTAAGTGCATACGAATAATCATAATAATTAATAGCCTAGTTCTTATATAGCACTTTTGATCAGCAGCTCTCAAAGCACTTTACAGAGTGAAGTATTATCATATTCCCATTTTACAGATGGGCAAACCGAGGCAGGGCTAGTTCATTGCCCAAGGTCTTGCAGCAGGGCCATGACAGAGCTGGAAGTAGAACTCAGATCTATTGAGTTCCCAGTCCAGTGCTCTTCCACGAGCCCACACGTCCTCTTACTCCAGCACCTCTGTGCTCCTGCTTCTCACAACTCACTTTCCCCAAACCTGGGCTGCTCTGGGCACGTAGCCCCATTAAACCTGCCAGACAGGTGAGGCTCCAAGAGCTGAGCTTTGGGAAAGGAAGGAAAAACATAGCCCTGCTCCGGTCCTGACCCACTCCAGCTGACCAACTGGTGCCTGGCTGCTGAAGGGGGAACAGTGGGCAGCTCTGGTCCAATTGCTGAGCTGTACGTGTTTGCTGGCAAAATCAGAGCACACCAAACCTTTGATAACATTGTGAGGACTGGTGACATCGGTTCTCAAGCCCTACAAAATAGGAGCTGTGTAGGACAACAGCAAAGAACAGGAATCCAAGGGCCCTGTTAAAACCCCACCTCTTCCTTTTGTCCAGTGCAACCAGGGAGGCAGCATCTGAAGCCTGTGCAGTAGCCAGCAGATGCATAAGAAGGTACCTGAAAGAGGCAGGGCTCAAGATCCAGGCAAAAGGACACTGAGGCTGCCAGACCTGGAGCCAAATGTGATCAGCCAGCCTCAGGGTACGTCTAGACTACATGCCTCTGTCGCCAGAGGCATGTAGATTAGGCTACCAGACACAGGAAAATGAAGCGGCGATTTAAATAATCGCCGCTTCATTTAAATTTACATGGCTGCCGCGCTGAGCCGACAAACAGCTGATCAGCTGTTTGTCAGCTCAGTGCGATAGTCTGGATGCGCGGGTGGCGACAACAAAGGTATTTGTCAAGCACCCAGGTATCCCTCCTGGGATGAGGTTTACCTGGGTGGTCGACAAATACCTTTGATGTCGCCCGCGCTGAGCCGACAAACGGCTGATCAGCTGTTTGTCGGCTCAGCGCGGCAGCCATGTAAATTTAAATGAAGCGGCGATTATTTAAATCGCTGCTTCATTTTCCTGTGTCTGGTAGCCTAATCTACATGCCTCTGGCGACAGAGGCATGTGGTCTAGACGTACCCATAGTGTACAGACCCATGTCCTGCCCTGGAGGGTTGTTGGGTTCGTTTGTTTTTTTGAAGTTTTTGCAATAAGATGTAGAAGCCTGAGTCTCTTTAAACTGCATGTTGCCAAATCCAATGCTGTGCCTTGCAAGGATGGGTGCTGACGGCTCATGCGAAGCCCGCACCCGGTTGCATACGGCAGGGGCCAGTCTCCAGGGGCAGAGGCAGCTGTTTTGCAGAAACGCGTAATCTTAGGAGGCACAGTCATCGGCAAAGCTCGCGCCAGATGCAAAGGAAATAAAGTCCGTTTGGAAAAGCAAAACCTTGTGGGCCTGCAAGTTGCTCCATGCAGCTTCCTGCAGTGCACATATGGAAGGGAAGTTAGGAATGACCCTTCCTTCCTGACCCGGTCTTCACTGCCCCAAGGACTGCATTTAGTGACCTCACAGAAGAGGAAAGCTACAGCCCTGAGCCACTGCCCCTACAATCTGGTGCAGACAAGTGACTACCAGGACAAGAAGTCAGCTAAAAATGTTGCAAGAGCAACACAGGTGGGCATAGCCCTGCACGGATACTAAGAATGTAGGATACGTTGCCTTACCAGCATGCTTATCAGAAAAACTGGTTAGCCAGTGCCTAGCCAAGCTAGAGCTGGGGAGGTGCTGCTCCAGTGGCCCTCCACCCGCGGCATGATGTGATGGGCCAGTTAAACTATAGGTTAACATTTTAACCAGGTTTTTACATCCCGAGTGGATGCAAAATTGGTAGCGATAGCCACAAAAACAAGCCATGGATATCTGCAAATCTGCAGGGTTCTAGACACAAAATTGGTATCTACACCCGCCTCCATAGATGCCAAAACAAGCCACAAAGTGGATATTCGGGAATTTGCAGGGCTTAAGGGACAGAAATCAGTTCAGAGGAGAAAGATCTTACAACTGAGTGGGTCTCATATTCCATACAGTGGAGGAGGGTGATACAGACACTCAGAGGAAAGAACCCCGATACTAGGGATTTAAATACTCTGAGGCTATGTCTACACTGGCGGCTTCTTGCACAAGAACAGGTGTTCTTGCGCAAAAACTTGCCGAGTGTCTACGCTGCACGTGCATTCTTGCTCAAGTAAATTTACAGTCTAGTGTCGGAAAACAGGGCTTCTTCTGGAAGAGTTATTCCTCTCCCCACGAGGAATAAGCCCACTTGCACAAGTGGGCAGTGTAGACAGGCAACATGAATTTCTTGTGCAAGAAACTCCTATGGCTAAAATGGCCATCAGAGCTTTCTTGCACAAGAGAGCATCCACACTACCATAGATGCTCTTGCGCAAAAGCACATGCCAGTGTAGACGTGCTCGTGTGGAAGACTTTTTGCGCAAGAACTCTTCCGCAAAACAGTTCTTGCGCAAGAAGCTGCCAGTATAGACGTAGCCTGATTTATAATGCAAACTTAACAAATATTTAATTACTATTTAAAAAAAAAAACAACACAAATTTCCCTGCCTAATCTTTGATATGTTCAGCACATTTCTTCATATTAATCAGAATTTAAATGTAAATTTAGTAATGGGGTGGGGTAACTTACATAACAGCTAGAACCTAGTGACTTAGCAAAAGCCCCAGCATCTCTTTGTGCTATGATAAACGTCCCAGCTGTACCTTCCCGTTGCAGAGTTCAGTAAAACCCAGAGAAAAGAGCCAGCGGGGAGATAAGATGCAAACTTCACAGTTCTGCGCTATCTACAGGATACGTGGGGAGCCTTTCAAAAGCAAGATCTGATCAGATGTTAATTCCTGTCACCTCTTCTGCACGTCAGCAAAACATCTCCCTAATAAATGCTTTTTTTTTTCCTTTCCATTTTTGTCATCCTTAAGGCACACCTCGAAAAAGTGCAGGCTGATTTATGCGGCACACGCTAGTGATCACAGTGCTGAATTTTGGGCATAGCACTGAGCCCATCAAGCATCACCGAATATTCTTAATCCGGTCCCATGAACAGGCAGTACATGCTATTCATTTAATTGCACACATGTGTTACTGCACATGTTTTTAGCCTTCTAACCTGCTACAAGCTGACTTGCCCGTGGACACCCTTGACCAGCAAAACCCTTGAGAATCATGGGGATGTGAAATACATGCATAGTGCAAGAATGAAAGCTTGCTTAGACTGAGGCCTTACAAACCCCCCCTCCCCAAGCTTTGCTCTACCCACGTTCAAAACTCTTCCTCAGAAGTGCCTCCTAGAAAGAAGCCAACTGAATCTGTTCAGACTGCGGTTTTGTCCGTAGAGCCTCTTAGGACAACACAATGTTATACTGCTGCAAGGGAGCAAAAGCAAACGGAAGCCTCGTGTGTTTTCAGGACAGGATATTTGGGTGTATTTTCTGAACACCGAGCTTCCACTATTGTTCCACTGTGATTAAGTGTATTAATATCTTACTGTCAGCCAAGCCACCTTAATTCAATCTCGTCTCATCAGCTTCAGAAATGCCAGGAGAAAGGTGTCTGTCCACAACAACGCCATCCCTGTTTCTCTTCCTCAAGTCCCCAAATAACTGAATCTTACTTTTAATTGTATAACTCAGGGATGGGAAAGCTTTGTGGCCAGAGGGTCATGTTGAAGTTCAATTGTGTGGAGGGCTGGCTAGGGAAGGAGGTGCCTCTCAAAAAAGTCAGACACGGCCTGCCCCCACATCTGACTTCCTAAACCCCCTTGGGACTCTTGGCTCCTCTCCAACACACCTGCCCCACAACCCTTTGTCCCTGACCAACCCTCCCTTCTCCAATCCCTCATTCAACCCCCCTTTCCCCGCTCCCTGCCTCCCGACTGTACTGCTCAGAACACCAGGGCTGGTGGCAAAGCAGCTGCGCTGTCCAGCCAAAGCTCACAACTAGGGATGCAAATGGTTAACTGGCAAGGCTCACCGTCCCAGTTAACTGGAAAGGGACCAGAGCAGCTTCTATCTGTGATGGGCCCAGCCCAGCCCCTCCGCTGCAAGTTTCAGGCTGGCTCCCTGGGAGCAGCAGGTCCAACAAGGGCTGCCAGCCCCACTCCTGGGGAGCTGGCTGCAAAGTCCGCAGCAAAACCTCCTCCCCAGGAGCAGATCTGGCAATAGCAGGGAGCCTTTGCTGCAGGCTCGGCAGTATAAAGCAGGGATGTTAAATAGCGGTTAGACGACTAGTTGAGTAACCTCATGAATTCTTATCGGTTAGTCGACTATTCTGTAGTGCCTGGTGGCGGGGCTGGCAGCCAGTGCACTCCAGCCCCACTCCCAAGGAGTCCCCTGCCACTCAGTGTGGGGTGCCAGGTGGGAGCTGGTCCATTGACCCAGCCCAGAGTGGACCCCATGGTAAGTAAATCTAAGCTGGCTCAGATTGCTAGAGCTATTTTTAACAAGAGGTTACGCAGAGGTTTTCCAGGATACATCAACTCACTGATGGTAATTGTCTATTTTTTTTTTAACAGGCTACATAAAAATCACTAGCAAGGTCAGTGCAAATTAAAGTTTCGTACAGACAAAATGGGAAAATAAACAATTTTTCAGGAACACGGTGCTGAAATACTTTTGTATTTTTAGGTCTGCTTTTGTAAGCAAGTAATTTTTAAATGAGGTTTAATGTAGGGGTGTGCAAGACAAATCAGACTGCGAACGGAGTACAGTAGTCTAGAAAGGTTGAGAACCCCTGTCCTAGTGAGACAGAGTAGTGATAGAAATGTAGCCGTGTTAGTCTGGTGTAGCTGAAACAAAATACAGGACTATGTAGCACTTTAAAGACTAACAAGATGGTTTACAGGCAGTCCCCGGGTTACGTACAAGATAGGGACTGTAGGTTTGTTCTTAAGTTGAATCTGTATGTAAGTTGGAACTGGCGTCCAGATTCAGCCACTGCTGAAACTGACCGCCAGTTACAGCGGCTGAATCTGGACACCAGTTCTGACTTACATACAGAGTCAACTTAAGAACAAACCTACAGTCCCTCTCTTGTACGTAACCCGGGGACTGCCTGTATTTGGAAACAATTAGACTCCTTGGATTGAGTCTTGGATTGTGCTAAATATCCTAAGTGGACTCTGCAGTCTATGAAAATCATCAGGGTGCACCTACACAGCAGTGTTATTTTGGAATAACTAATGTTATTCCAAAATAATACATTGCATGTCTATACTACACATCATTATTTTGAAATAATGTTGAGTTGGAGGACTTCTTTCTTCAACTCATGGTAACCCTCATTTCATGAGGAGTAAGAGAAGTCGAAGAAAGACTGTTGTTCCTTCAACTTTCTGTTGTGTAGACAGCGTCAAAAGCAGATTTCAGCTTTTTTTTACTTCAGCTATGCAATTGATACAGCTGAAGTTGTGTAGTTTAATTCAGCTTTAACCCAGCTGTGTAGACATACCCTTAGACTGCTTCCAACTTGCACTGTATATATTAAAATGGAAGTATATTAGGGTTGTTGATGAATTGCAGTTAACTCGTGTGATAAGCTCAGAAAATCATGATGAAAATATTAATAGCAATTAATTAGTTTTAATCGCATGGTTAAACCATAGCATACAAATTGAAATTTATTAAATATTTTTGGATTTTTTTCTGTTTTCAAATATGTTAATTTGTTACATTGTAAAATACAGAGTACACAATTCTCAGCTTATATTATTTAAAAAAAAATATTTGCACTGTAAAAATGATAGATAAGAATTTTTTTTCCAATTAATCTCATACAAGTACCATAAAGCAATCACTTTATCATGAAAATGCAACTTACACTGTAGATTTTTTTATTACATAATTACATTAAAAAACAAAACTATGTAAACCTTTGAAGCCTACAAGTCCACTGAGTACTCCTCCTTTTCAGCCAATCACTGAAACAAACAAGTTTGTTTTTATTTACAGGAGATAATGCTGCTGGTTTCTTTTTTACAATTCACCTGAAGAGAGAACAGGCATTTGGCCCTTTTGTAGCTGGCATTGCAAGGAATTTACGTGCCATGTATGTTAAACATTCATATGCCCCTTCATGCTTTGGCCACTGTTCCAGACAAGATGCTTCCATGCTGATGATGCTTATTAAAAAATAATGCATTAATTATATTTGTGACTGAACTTCTTGGTGGAGAAAGTCTCCTGTTTTACCCACTTTCTGCAATATAGTTCATATTTATGGCAGTAATACCATGTGGCACATGCTTTCAGAAGTCTTAAAAGAGCAACACTCAGATGTGGAAACTACAGTCTGAATCACTGAAAAAGAAAATCAACTCTCTGCCAACAGCGTCTGACTCATGATGATGATGAACGCATCCCCCTCCTGTTCTGAAATGTGATTTGTCCTTTTCATATGTGTTCGTTTTTTTTAATTGTATCCTTTGGTATATATGGTTGCGACTATTTTCTTCCACTATTTGATCTGAGGAAGTGGGTCTGGCCCATGAAAGCTCATCATCTAATAAACCATCTTGTTAGTCTTTAAAGTGCTACATTGTCCTGCATTTTGCTTCAGCTACCGCAGACTAACACGGCTACATTTCTATCACTATTGGCTTTTTTGTTACACTGACTTTCAGCTCATCTTATTTATCATCCACTATTAATATATTTAATAGCTTTAAATCGCAGTCTGGAAACAGAATGCCTAATACAGAGAATGTAGCACGCAATATATTTACGTTGCTCACAAAGCAATAGGTCTGTATGTTAAATTACAACGTTCATCGGTGCCACAGATAGTTTACAGGAACACGCGTTTGAACACATAGCTTTCACAGCTACATCTGCAAGTAATAGAAAAGTTTCCTTAACGCGCTATTATCCCCGGACTTTAGGTAACATTGTGACAACTCCTTTAATTTTAAAATTAGCAATTATTTTTTAACTCAAACATGGAGAATATTCACCCAGTAACACCAGTTTTTCCATTAAAAACTTTCTTTCATTTCTGTAGCTCCGAGGAGGTGTGAGGTCTGCAAATTATTTGTTCTTTGCAACTCAAAGGCCACAGTGGTGAGCATTTTCATGCCAACAGCCCCCAAACAATTTGCATTTTGTATCACCCTGGAGAAAAGCAACCTTTCATCCCACATTGTGTGTTAACCCCTACCGCACCCAAGCATGCAGTGACTGGACTACTTGGGGATGCTGGGATAATTTTTATAGTGGGGGCGCTGAGTACCATTCCCTGAAATCTGTGCTCTTGGGCAGCTGCTTAGTCCAAGGCCACCCAGAGAATCAGCAGAGCACCCACCGCTGGGTGTTCTGTTTCTACTGATGGTGCACATTCGCACATGCCTCTGGTGCATATAAAAATTATTCTGCACATGGAAAGAAAATATTAAAAGCACATCGGTGCTAAGAATCACTGAACTAAACTGTTAAGCCCCGTATATAAAGGGAATCTCTCCAAGGCAGGGGTGGGGCAGCAGCCTATTTCCAGCACCCCTGACTGCATAGGATGGCAGGGACGGGCCCCTTACCTTGTTCCAAGACCCCCAGCAGGGTCACAGCAGCGAGCAGCGCGATCTGATCCAGCATGTTGGCTCCTAGGGGCGCTGGAACGAAAGACCCGTCCCAAGTGCAGGTAGGCGAGGGACTGCGGACCCAACCCAGCCGGCCTCCCCTTACTGCTCCGCGCTCAGCCTGTGCTTCCTCCGCCCGGCACGGGTTAACCCCTTGCGCGCTGCAGGGCTAGCAGCAGCCAGCAGGCAGGGAAAGTGCCGGGTCGCTGCAGCCGTGGCCAGCCCCCCTAGGGAGCGAGTTTACGAGTGTGTGGTGGGGAGGAGGCGGCGGCAGCAACCTCAGCCCAGGGGGAAGCTAACGCGGGAACGGGTCGTTTTTCCTTTGCACAAAGGTCTGCAGCCCAGCGGGGCGGGTTTGGGTTTTTAAAGACAAAAGCTGCGCGCTAAAGGCTGGGGTGTTATTGTCAAGCAGCTGGGAACACTTACGGGCCAGCCCTAGGAGAGGCCAAGTTCCAGGCTGCAAAGGCACCATGCATAGGCGGCGCAGCTGTTATTCTTCTCCTCGACAGGGTCCAGCTTAATTCCACATTCTCTTTATTTTTGCCCTGGCCAAGTTTGCATAGCCGAGGGGTGACTGGGGCAGTTGGAACAGGAGGCTATTCCCAGAACAGACTGAGGCTACATCCATCCACACTGCACACGTGTTCTTGTGCAAGTAAATTTACAGTAAGGGGTCGGAACAGAGGGCTTCTTCCGCAAGTGTTATTCCTCCCTCCACAAGGAGCAAGCGCTCTTGCACAAGAAGGCAGTGTGGATGGGCAACAGGGGTTTCTTGCGCAAGAAACCCAAATGGCTAAAATGGCCATCAGAGCTTTCTTGCGCGAGAGCGCGTCCACACTGCCACATAGCAGTGTAGAGGCGCTCTTCCACAAGACCTACAAACAGCCAGGGGGCTGTGTCTACACTGGGCCACTTATTCCGGAAAAGCAGCCGCTTTTCCGGAATAAGCTGCGAGCTGTCTACACTGGCCGCTTGCTTTTCTGGAAAAGCAACGACGTTCTACTGTACAAAATCAGCCACTATTCCAGAAAAACTATTCTGCTTCCGCTTGGGCATAAGTCCTTATTCCGGAACACTGTTCCAGAAAAGGGCCAGTGTAGACAGCCCAGTAATCTTTTCCGGAAAAAAGCCCCGATCGCGAAAATGACGCTCGGGGCTCTTTTCCGGAAAAGCGCGTCTACATTGGCCACAGACGCTTTTCCGGAAAAAGGGCTTTTCCGGAAAAGCAGCCTGCCAAGGTAGACGCTCCTTTTCCGGAAAAACTGAAAACAGAATAGTATTCCATTTTAAGCATTTCCGGACAAAGGTGCCAGTGTAGACATAGCCCATGTTTCAAAATAGGAGCTTGTCACCCTTAAAGAGGCAACATTCAATTCTGCTTTTATCCTCCACCCAGAGTAACGTTTTCTTGAAGAGGACAAAATTGCAAGAATGCAATCTGAAGAGTGGTTATAGGTCCAGTTTGGAATTCCACTTAATGGCTAATGTGGAGCAAGGGTTTCCTTTGGTTTGGAACAGAGCTGCAACTTAAGGAGTGAATTATGGGACAAGTAATTTTAGATCAGCATCAGAATCCTCTAAAATATAACTATGTTGCAAAACTTGGGTAAAAGGCATTCCATTACTCTTGAATACTGCCCCTTAAATGCCTAATTTGCTTTTACCAAAAAGGGGGAGATGTAAATGAAGGGATTGATTTTGACTTTTGAATGCCCCCATTTCAAATTTGTATATATAAAAATATACTATTAGTATACTGTTTATACAGTTCAACATCCACTGATATGTAGCATATTAATATTTATACTATATATATAAGGGTAAAGAGTAGATATAGTATACTTATATTTATACTATATATGTAGTTCAGCATCCACTGAGGTTTTCTTTACATTGTTTTGGAGGAGGGAGAAAATTTTATGTTTGAACGAACCTCCTGAAAATTCCACAGAAGAGAGAAGCAGGGGCTTGCCCCTAGAATCAGCGCATCAGGCAGAGCTACAGCCAAGCAGGCACCCTCATTCAGACTTAATTATGCAAGTCAAAAGCTAGAAACTTCCGTTTGATTTATATGTCACTCTTATGTTACTCATGTTACAAAAATCAGCAAACTCAAGTATCCATTATAGACAGGCCCAAATTTTGAAAATTTCCATCAACACAAATGTGTCCTTCAACCTTACAGGCAATTTTCCTCCACTTTAATTAAAATCTGTAGTGTCCCAACATTTACATTTTGCTGTTTGAGGTCTCTCTTATAAATAGCGTTTGAAATATCAGTAGGGGCGCTTACTCTCACTCCCACTAACTTCCATACAGTAGAACCTCAGAGTTTTATGAGCTTCATAGGAACAGAGATTGTTCATAACAGTGAACAAAACGTTATGGGTGGTCTTTCAAAAGTTTACGTAATACAGCTGTGAACCTTTACTATGCAGAAGAAAAATGTTGCTTTTAATCATTTAATTCAAATGTAACAAGCACAGAAAGTCTTCTTACTTTGTCACTTAAAAAAAACTTTTGCTTTGAAGTCGTAGTAATTTAACAGTACTGTACGGGTTTACTTTTTTGGTCTCTGGTATTCATAACTGAGGTTACTGTGCAAGCAGCATCAAGTTCTAGAATCTGCTGATAAAGCACACTTATTTTATCTGCAGACAAGTCATCAGTTTACAAGCAAAGATAGTCAAGTAGCTGAGGTGACAGACAAGAAAGAAGAATTTCAGAGCCAAGATTGATAGAAATTTGCATTAGTTCCTCAAGACCTTGGATACTCACGTGTGCATACATGCTGTTCATAGCTGGTAGTCTGGAAAGGTTCAGCATTAGTGAGCAGTAAGATACAGTGTCTTGTGTGATAAGACATTATGACCTTTAACTCAACAGTTCCATTGTGGTTACCTAGACATGGTGCCTTCTGGACCTGGTGCTCTTAGTACTCAGACGTGAACAGATTGTAGCATCCGGTTCTCACTGGATGTACAGAGTTACAATCTCCTTAGCACAAATAAATCAGATCTAAAAAGTAGGGCTGTCAAGCAATTACAAAATGTAATCATGATTAGTCATGCGATTAAAAAAATGTAATTGCAATTACTCACGTGCAACACCCCTTTGAAATGTTGTGGCAGGGTTTCAAAGAGGCAGTGCTGCATGGAGCCCAGGATCAGCTGGAGCTCCCAGCTGACCCCAAGCGATATGCAGCACTGCTCCTTGGAAGTGCCGGAGTAGCACTTCAAAGAGGCAGTGCAAGCGGAGCCAGGGATCAGCTGGAGTCCCCAGCTGATCCCCTGCCTCAGGGTGCAAAGCCTCTTTGAAGTGCTGCTCTGAAGCAGGGGGATCAGCTGAGGACTGCATTAGGAGCTGGGATCATCTCCAGCTGATCCCCAGATCAGCTGTTGCAAAGCCCTTTTGAAATACCACAAGCCTTTTGGAACAGGGAACTGGGGATCAGCTAGGCACACACAGCTGATCCGCTCCACTTGCAATGCCCCTTTGAAGTGCCAGAGCCAAGATTGATAGCAATTTGCATTAATGCCTGTGCTTAATGCATTAATCCTGTCCTGCATTAATTGTAGGCATTAACACAGGTTAATTGACAGCCCTAATAAAAAGGACAGGGTTTCAAAGGACATGTTGATGAGTTTGCAAGTAGTGGGCAATTTGCTGTTTCTATAGTGTTTGCTCCACTACATTTGATTGATTTGGGGTTGAAAATAACTGAAATCAGATTCTCCTCCCTAAGAACTCTCTGATGGGGAAACTAGAACACTGGGGACCCTAATGTCTAGTACAGATTTCTAAGTGGAGGCTAAAGTCATACACCTGGACCAGCTGCAGCGTACAAGCTCGTGGTAGCTCTCTTTAGAGACTCCTCATTGAAGAGCACTTAATTCACTGAAGAGCATTAGGCCTCTTTTTAATCCACCCTCCACTGCTGCAACATCCCTCCTCCTTCTTCCTTCAGGTTTAATGGTTGGATGTGGTATATCTGTCACACTATGCACATCAGGTGATCAGTATGTCAATAGCCACTTGGAGGACAACTGCTTCAAAGTGCAGATGTGTCTATGTGCTGCATGGGCACCTCAGGAATTTTAGGCAGTCTAAAATTCATGCTGCAATTGAGGTCTTGTCTTCAGTGCCCAGGATCACAGGTAAAGTAGCTGGTCCTGGTAGCAGGGGCTAGTTTTCCCTCAGTGGAGCCAAAATTAATGGAGAATGTAATTAGTGCTCCTACCCCCTCTAATTTCTGATATGCATTGAGATTCTAGGGTTTCTTCAGAATAGTGCTGCATGTGAAGGCAGCATTTAACCACAACCCAAACTCACTACATGGAGAAGGAACTGATGCAAGACGACACAGGTTATCAAAAATATCTCTTCAGAGGAAGTCAGGCTGGATCTTATGTCTATTAAATCCTTGGAACACTATTACAAAACTCCTTATACAGAAAGACACTGCAACAGAACACTTAGCTGATACAGCTAAAGATTACTTACTAATTAAGACTCAGGGTAAGCAAAAGGACTTTGAAAATATTCAAACACGGAAGACATGTTTTGGACTAAAATATGTACCTGATTTGATATTTGTGCAAGTGTTCTAATCATTAGTGCTAATCTGTGGTCAAAGTATGAGATGACTAAGAGAGGATCAGAAATCAGGAAGGCTAAGATAAAAATCAAGCATGTCACTTATTGGAATCTATCTTGTATTTTAACTTTTGATAAACAACACTAAAAGAAACTAAATTTCAGGTTTGCTACGCCTTTAGTATGTGATATGGCTCTTTTTCCAATGTTTAGGTAGAAACAGCAGTGGAAGCTAGTATCTCAGAATGGGCATACACAGATCAAAGATTTTTGCTCAGAGCTATGAAGCCTTAAGAGCACACACTTATTCTGAACAGAGTAGACAGCACCTACCAGATGTGGAGTTTATTTCACTGCCCATTTCTTCAGATACCTGCCTCTGGCTATGTCTACACTACAAAGAAAAGTTGGAAAAGGATACGCAATTGCAAAGCGCTGGTCTAATTTTTTTACCGCTTTTCTTTCAAATGAGGCTTTTCAGAAACTTGGCGTGTCTACAAGGTGCCAAATTTCAGTAAAACCTGCTCTTTTGAGCCATCCCTTTTCCTCCTCTATAAACCTTGTTTTACAGAGATGTGAAAGAATGTGTCCGCTTTTCCAAAATTTTTTTGGAAAAGCAGACCCGTTCCTTGGATGAAGCATTGCTTTTCCAGGGTAAAGCACTGCAGTCTAGACGTAGCCTCTCATCAACATCAAGCAGCACTGGTAGGCTCTAAAGGAAGCAGCATTCATTCCTCTGCCAAAAGAAATCAGAAAACTTTAACGAAAGGGAAATATTAGAGAACTCCACTTCAGCTTTGTGTTTTGTTGCATAAAGGCAGTGATTTGATAAACTAGGTTTTTTGAGAAATTTTTTTCTGTAATGTAAAAAAAAAAAAAATCCACACTATCGGTGTTTCTAGTGCAGATCGTCATTGAACAGAAGACAATGTAAGTGTTACATTGTAAACTGTTTGAGTCAGCAATTAAAAAAAAACTACTATGTACTTAAAGTACTAACCACCTCAGGCCAAAATTTTCAAGAACTTAGTGGCCCATATTTTGGTACCACCTAGAAAATTGTGACCTCCAAAGTTGGCAGTTTCTCAATGGTTTAAAATAGGGAGAAAGCATGTAAAGCAGCATATGACTTCATTTTTGCAAGTTTTATTAATGCTGGTTTTTGGAAAGTTGGGCACAATTTAAAAGTTCTGATTTTCAATGCTATTGCAACTCATCGCTGGGGTCTCTCAAAGACAAGTGAAAACCTTTTACACCTGAAATCTAGAAATAAGAGTAGAGAGAAGACTTGAAACTAACTCCCCACTGACAACCATAAGCTCTAAGAAAATAATTTTTAAAAAGCAATAACCATCATTGATATATAGGATGTAGTTGAATATTAAGCTTAATTGTTCAAATTTAAGTGATGTTTCTGGTGGTTGGTTAAAGAATATTCTTGTCTTTCCCCTCTTCACTCCCACTGCAGTACAAGTTCTTTCCAAATTGGGACTAGAAGGATGGAAAGTTTTATTATGAAGACAGACAGAATAGGAGCATTACTAAATCAAAGCAATAGGTGTTCACAAACTCTCACACTTTCTATCATTAGGCTAAAGACAAACCTCACTAAGAATGATGATGCAAAAGTTACGGTCACAGCCATATGTTTAATACACTAGCAAAATATTTATTTGTATAATGATAAAACAGAAATGAAGGATTTCTTTTTTGGTGTGCACCAGTAATTGTAGTAAAAGAATAAGGGGATTAATGGGCTCTTCATACATTTCAATGACAAAAAACACAAAGGTTAACATCAATTTCAATTATTCTCCATTTACAAGCATAAACCTTACCATAACCCCTCAAAACACATATATAAAGAATTATAGTTTTAAAATCTATAAAAAGTAAAAAATATACAGTCAGAAGATCTAACTTATTCAATCTTTAATATAAAACTGTAAACATTTATTTACACAAAGGAAATGTGTATAACAAAAGTCTGAGCACCCTTTTCAATTGAGTTGTGGCTTTTGGAAGGCAGCGAATGTTGCACAGTGACAATTCTGACCCCTTCCCAAACACCCAAAACCGCAGTTTATAAATAAAGCCATGGGCGGCTGTGGCTAGGTAAAGGCGAACTACATCTTATTGCTCTGAAGCTGCGTCAAAATGGAAACCGAAGTGCATATATAAACTACATGTAAAAGTTGAAGGAGAATGTGCAGCCCATCTTCATCCATACATTTATGTATATCTAGAGCCCATTTTCAGTGTCCGCTGAACTGTTTTTACCGCAATATTATGTTTTAACAGTTTCACCACTTTATGCAGTCAGGGACAAACAACATTATCTATGTTTAAACGTACAATAGCAGTCAAGACTAAGTTCAAACAGTTCTAAACACGTTTAACATTGTTTGCACACGACCAAAAGATGTTAGAAACCAGCCTGCCTACAACTTTGTTTGAGAAGTGTTTAAACAGTACTGGGGCTATCGTAGACAAGACCCTACAGTCAAAGCTGGACACAAGTATGAACAAAACCTTCAGGACAAGCAGGGCAATATCCATCAACTTCCACAACAATGGTGGGAACAGTACCTCTGCATTTTCTTCTCTGTGACAGTCTAGAAGTATAGAGACAGAATTTCTTTTTTTGGTAGCAAGTATACTAATCAGATCCTGTCCCTCAGATTATGGAATAATGATAGATTATATTTTGTTTAAGAGCTGACTTCCGTGTGTGAAATCCACTGAAAAATGTGGACTATTTCCTCACATAAAATAAACAGGGAAGAAATAAGATTTTAATTCTGCAACCCTGCTATTTCTCAGTGTTTAAGTAGGAAGAAAAGTGACATTACAGAATGCCACTGTTAAGAATGAGGTCCCAAGTACCCCCAATAGGAAAGGAAGGCACACCGGTGCAAAGTTAATACTTTAAAAAAGGTACAATGAATGCCCCTTTACCCTGTCCCCCTCCCCCCCCCCCAAAAAAAATTAATAGGTTCAGTAGACTAGTAAATTTTTTCTTGGCCCAATTTTTTGTTTAATGCAACATTAAAAGTCGATCTTACTAAGCTTCACCCCTGCCCCCCACAACAATAGTTGATACCAGAGAAGTTAGGATTAGTAATTTTAAACCTCAGCTATTTTCCCTAGACAATCTTAAAAACACTGTCACTAATACCAGTCACTGGCACTTCTCATTCAACTATCAACTCCCTATCTTACATTGTTTTTAAGAAACCTACAAAGGGATTACGTTTGCTGCAGTGGCATTTCAACCTCTCTAGTCAATGAACTCCACTGGTCAACAACTTTCATCAACAGCCTCCATATCATGCAAACTCTGTTTAACAGGACATAATTAACTCGTATTAGGTAAATGTGTACAACAAAACTAGGTTGCTGTGTATTTGGACAAGGTTAAATTAAAATTAGTGTTAAAAGCAAGTTTTTTTTTTAAAAAGTGCAAGTTGTCTGATAAAGGAGCTGCAGAGACAGCACAATATTTTCCTTCCTAGAATTCACTTTTATCCTTCACTCCCCCCTCCCACCCATTCCCCAAAAGCTTAAAATCCCTCACACTTCTGCAGTGCAGAAAGCCTCCTGAAGATACCAGTCTGTGTTGAAGGAAATCCTTTTAATCACAATGCAAGGAAATTATAAGGAGCTTTACAAAAATGGGGGGAAAAGTTGGTTTGGTTTTTTTTTTAAATGGAGCTTGAAGGAAAAGTAGTATTTGTGCAGCTAAAAAACAAACTTTCACCTTTATTTCCTTTTTTAAATTAAAAGTTAAGGCAAGGTGGTTTGTTGGAGGGGAATATTTGGTAGCAAGTAAGGACTGTAGAACATTGACTGGTCTCATTGCTTTTCGTACCCTTTGTGAGACTGACCCTAACACATCCGGCCGGGTGAACAGTCTCCCCGGGCTATGCTGAAGGGAACTAGTTTCTGCTTCAAGTGAGATATGAGAAGGCAATCATCTGTTCACAGAAGATTAACACTCCCTGTTTGTGAAAGAGAGATTTTCAAACTGAAGCAACCTTGAAACAAGTTTAGCATTTTTCCTGGCTTCTTGTGCTATTACTTGCAGATATTTACATTTTAGTAAGGATTTTCCACTTCTCAGCCTCATGCTTCTTTTATGCGATGGATCCTAAAGTGACAAAATCTTGTGCTTATGGCATCATTGTACTTAGTTTTGGAGAAGACTGATCTAAAAAAAGTCCACATTACAAATACACTGCAGTAACAAATAATAAAACACAATGAGCTGTGATAGGGGCAATGCCCTCCTTTAAACACAGCAAACTTTGGAAATGAATTATGATGAAACATGTGCAAAGTGAATTGCTTTATGTTTAACTCAGATATATTTGAAAAGTTCTCCCATTAGAAACACAGCAAGGTAAAAGCCAAGAAGTCTGTGTACCTCCAACACAGAGTGCAAACTGGAGTATGGAAATCCACAATCCATTAAGGAAGTCACCATCCTAAGCCAGCTGGCCAGGTTTTAACACTTTCTTTTCTTTAATTTCAGCATTTGGAAAAGTTTGCTGTAAATATTACTGTGAAATACTACTTGCTTGATAGTGCAGGCACACATTTCACTGGTGCGGAAAAGGACAGATCCTCTCCTCCCACAAAAGTCAAGTAAAACATTTGGTAGGACAGTACTGTAGTTAGTAGCATATCAAGTTGGGAAAAATTATCAACTCAAGTATTAAGTGCAGGAGACCAAGCCCCAAACACAAAATACTTGCCATTTTATTTTCTTTCTGCACCATTGCTGTGGGGTTTTATTTACTTTTAAATAATTAAAAACGTAAAGTTTCAAAACACAGCAAGAGATTTCTGAAGGGCTGATTGGGATGCACACAATTTGCCTGACCTGTTCAAATGTGCAATCTTCTTCAGATGCCACAAAAATTAGCATGGTCATTGCAGACCTGCTTGGTGCACCATTCTGAGTCAGAGCCTGTTGGGAAGTAGCCCCATTCCATTTCCCAACCATTTACCTCTATTGCCTGCAAGTCTCTTCAATGCCACAGGTTTTTGGTCCAAGTGTAGTTTATATTTCATGAAATTAAAAAACGATGTAGAAACCCCCAAGCCCCATTTTAATGAGTTCCTAACAACTCATCCAAGTCATTCATCCATTCCTCTGAAGTCCTGTTTTTCAGCAAAGAGTCTATCAGGTCTGTGTCACCAGTCAAGCTCTGCAGTCCATTATTGCCTGATTGGCCGCTGTAGGCAAAAGGCAGCTCCTGACTGGTTGTCCTCACTGAGTAACCTTGAGTACAGTGCAGAGTGGCTCTACTGGGCAGCTGCTGATTTGCATTCTGGCCAAAAGCGGTCAGATCTGGAACGGCCTGGCTCATGCTAGGCAAGACTTGTTGGGAGGATACCTGCTGTTGGGTAGGCGGGTTTGTCCTCTGCTGCGCACCTAAAGATGACAACATCTGCCCAGAGACAGCAGAGTTCATGGAGGCCATTGATCTGCTGGTGCTTAGGTTTACCTGAGGTATCCCTTGAGCAAACTGTTGACTGGCCATCTTTAGGTGAGTTTGCTGCATGTGGAAAGTGGAGCTGGCAGTAAATGACCCTAAGCCACCGTTTCCTTGTGTCTGATTATTCATATTAGGCATACCTTGGTGTTGCCAAGATGGATTTTGGGCCCCAATACCTGCTGGCACTCTTGCCATCTGTGACTTGCCCATGGCTGGATTCAGTGCCCCTTTATTGTGCTGCTGAGAAATGGCTGGGTTTCCCAGGGTGCTCTGCCCATAGCCAGCAGGAACAGGAGTGCCCTGACCCAAGCTGGGCTGCCTTTGCATCTGTAGTTGTCCGTTGGCACTTTGATTTGCATGGTGTGAAATCATCTGTGTCATACCAGATGTCATGTTGTACAGCCCCCCTCGCTGAATGTTTTGCATACTAGTGTACTGAGTCACACCCCGATCCTGCTGACTGGAGCCTGATTGCAAAGAAGGAACAGAGCTGTGTCCAGGTCCCATCTGAATCATGTTCTGGGTCTGAGAAAACATCCGCGGACTGCTGGAGTTGGACTGTCCCAAGTTACTTACACCAGTCATGGATGGAGATGACCCTGTAAAACACAGCAATATTTTCTATATTAATTGTTTATTTCAGTTTATCCAGAGTAAATGTTTATATGTAATTTCATATATATATATATATATATATATAAATAAAAGGTGCATTTAAGTAGATATAATTGTATCTCAAACTCAAACACACACACACACACACACACACACACACACACACACACACACACAGAGCGCATATAAATGGGAAAGTTCTATACAACAACTTCCTTGTAGTATGTGTCAGTAAAGAAGCCTCCAACTGTCGCCCCAGTCAGTGCTTGCTACTGATCTAATATGCACAAGTATGATTGTAACAATGTCAGCAATTTGAATGGCACTTCTTTTGGAGGAGAAGGCAGAACCCAAGATTACAAGGGACAGATTTTTAAAGGTGTTTAGGCACCTAAAAATGTAAACAGATGCCAAGTAGGATTTTCAAAACCACCTAGGAATCTAACTCTTATTTAAGTCAACTGGAGGCATCTAAGTGCTGTTCATAATCCCACTAGGAACCTTTACATATCTGACGCAAAGTGCCTATTGCATGGCTAATGAAATAAAAATCTATGTCCTTCACATCAGAGTTCATGTCCATGAAAGCGCTCTGAACAGAGAGGGGGGAGTCAACACGTTGAAATATAGCAGTCAGGTTGAGAATGCAGGCAGGCTCTCCAACTCGCTCATCTTGAGTGGATACAAATAGTCTAACCCCGCAATAGAGTTTCTGCCAAATCTCTTAGCTAAAACAGATGTATTATTAGTATTTGCAGCTGAGTACCTTTTGGATTTTCCTATGAAGTGTTCACTATGCATCAACATGCAAGACTGAATCAAACATGATGAATAAGCAATATGCTCAGTAAACCACCAACATGGCAGCTCCTTTTTAACTCTACATAAAAGCATGTATGCAGAAATCTAGTTCTCGCTTCCTCAAAGTCCAAAATATAAAGAGAGACAAGAAGAAAGTGTACAGAAAAAAAATCCTAGAAATAGCTCCAATACATTTTCTGCAATGAATATAAATGAATCCCCAAAAGAGCTCTCCACCTCTTTCAACTTTATTAAACTGAAGCAGCCATTCATACCAGAAAAGCTGGAGGTGAATATTTTGTATTCAGGCAAGATAAGTACAAAAATTGGATAGTTTCAATGTTAGGGCTTTCAAAGCATTGAATAAGTTCTCAGTGAAATATACCATAAATTAAAAAAAAAAAAAAAGCAGAGAAAGTCCATTTTTTGCCATGCTAATAAAGAAGTGTCAATATGCCTGGATGAAAGTAATAAAATAACTAGTTATATTAACTATAGGATAGACCCAATGGTGCTTTAACAATCCTGTAACTCTTGCAAATTGTTACATGCTCAGTAATTCTAATGCAGTATTTACCACTGCATTTCTGGTGGCGAGACTGTTTATACTGAAAGCAGTTTTTTGCCCCAGTGCAGGGGAAGCCTCTTTCTAGTATAAAATGATAGATGATTACTGGCCTCCAGTGTTTCCATATCAGCTATGCTATTCCAACTGACTGATGATTACATCCTCTTGCTACCAGCATTATAGTCAGTTCCACCCCTCTCCCTCTTCATGCCATCTCTTTACCCAAGCATTATAGCGTTTTTCCTAGGGGTGTATTATAGAGTTGGACATTGAATATAAAAATGTTCCACTTCAATTAATGTGTGGGGGATAGTTTTGTTAAATAGCAGCTGAAGTTAGAGTACGTATCAAAACAATTTAAAGAGGTGTAACAAAAGAACAAAAAAAAAATTTAACAAGGGACTTTGAAGACACCCTATTTTTATTCCCAAGGAGCCATCTCTTTTCACCGTTGTAAATACAACTTCCACATTTGTTTACCTGTGAACTGTCCAACCTGCTGCTGGTATGGGTTCTGTGCCTGATCCTGGTACTGAGGGGGTGGTCGGGTCAGGTGCCGCTGCAGCTGCTGCTCTTGTTGGTGCCGCTTTTCCTACAAAAGTGGAAAAAAGAAACAACACTTAATTTCAAGTGTGAATTCATACAGAATGGCTACTTGCCTTTTGTAACTGTTGTTCTTAGAGATGTTACTCACATCTATTCCAGTGTGTGCATACTGCATGCACAACCATCACAAGACTTTTCCCTAAAAGGTATCCACTGGGTCCGCTGTGGCACGCCCAGTGGTGACACCTTGCGGCATCGCATATATACCTCTGCTAACCAACTCCCATTTCATTTCTTTTTGCCGGAACAGTCTTAGAGGGGAGGTCGTTGGGTCTCAAATGGACATGAGCAGCACATCTTGAAGAACAATAGTTACCCAAGGGTAAGTAACCATTCTTTCTTCTTCAAGTTACTGCTCATGTGCATTCCAGCAGTTCATACAGAGGAGGGGCTGGACCTCAACTCATTGCTGAGTGCAGTACAGCCCCACTAAACTAGGGATGGGAATGACTAGTTGACTGTCCGATAAGAAAATGCTTATTGGATAATCGACAGGCTAGTCAACTAGTCCCTTCTGCCCTGCCCCCCCGGCTATAGGGGGGGGGGGGGGGACGGAAGGGAGGGAGAGAAGAAGGGAGTGCTTCAAAGTGGCAGTGATGCATGGAGCCTGGGATCAGACATAGGGCTTCACACGGCACTGTCACTTTGGAACACTGTGTGCAGCCTAGGGTCAGCCTGGGGTGTCCCCAAGATGCACACGGCATTTTAAAGCAGCAGCACTGTGTGGAGCCCAGGATCAGCTGGGGATTCCCCCGCTAACCCCAGGCTCCCTGTGCCGCTGCCGCTTTGAAACAGGGGAGTCCCCGGTTGCTTTGAAATGCCATGGGAAACAGGTGGAAAGCATCTGACAAGACAATCAGCCCTGAAACGAGCAGAACCGTGGGCACTTGCTATATAGGCTGGTCATGAACTGGTCCACCTGAGGATGACCCTACTCTCGGAAGATGGGGAGAGCTACGTCTGCCCAGAAACTACTTGTGGGATTGAAAGGACTAACTGAGGCGATCTGCAAGGTTGTTTTGAGTGCCCAAAAGGTACAAGACTTGCAGGTGAATGTTGTGAGAAATGTAAATGTCCCACAGGTCGATGGCCTCCTGGCACAAGGAGAGACACAAGCAGCACCCTGTCAACTGATATAAAACATCGCTGTGATATTGCCGGTCATCATGACGACACACTTGCCCTGTAGGTAAGGCAGGAACACCTGGCAAGTGAGATGGACCACCCTGAGTTCCTGGGTGTTGATATGCAACATCATTTCCATGCAAGACCACAGGCCTCGTGTTTGCAAACGGTTCAGGTGTGCCCCCCACACCGTGTCCAAGGCATCTACACCAGGGTGATATCGGGCTGCAGCCCTGCGAACAGAATCCCTACATACACACTATGTGGGGCTGCACCCAACAGTCAAGAGATTGCAGGGTTGCTGGTGGCATGGTGACCATGCAGTCAAGGGAGTCTAGAAGGGCTGAACACCACCCACCGCCTGTCACACTTGGAGTAGGTGGAGGTACAGGTGGACATGGCGTAGGATATAGGTACAGAATACCATGTGCCTAAGGAGCCTCATGCAGTTGGACACCATAATCGTCGAGCACTGTTGCAGCAAAGAGATGAGGCCCGCCATGGCCTGGAACAGAGACTCGGGCAGGGAAACTGTCACCCAGGTAGAATCAAGAAGGGACCCAATGAACTTGGATCTTTGCATAAAAATGAGGGTGGATTTTGGCAGTTGAGGATCAGACCCAAGTGGGAGAATGCAGCCTTAACCACTTTCATGGTGCCTAAGCATCTGCTCCTGTCCTTGATTAGCCAGTCATAGGAAGACTCGCACTTAGTTCCTGCACGAGAACATGACCTCCATCTCCATGCACTTGGTAAATACCCCAGGCACTATGGCCAGGCTGAAGAGCAGCACCACGAACTAGTAATGCCGGTTCGCCAGTGTGAGTGCACGCACGCACACACACACACGTGCACGCACACAGAGGAAAAGGTAGTGGGCTGGGATAATGGAGATTTATTGGGGGCAGTGTACGAGTCTCCCTCATCTAGCAAGGGGATGATAGAGGCCAGGGCATCTTGCTGAACTTGAGCCTTGGTGTGACCATGTTCAGGTTTCTGAGATCCAGTATGGGGCACAGACCCCCCCCCCTTTTGGCCTTCAGGATAAGGAACTTCTGGAAGTAAAATCTCTTTGCCCCTGAACTCCTGCAGGACCTCTTCTATCCCCACCAAAGCGAGGAGCACTCTCACTTCCTGGACAAGGGGTCGTTCAAGGGTTACTGGTTATCTGTGTACATGGGTACACATACACATCCTTAATTTAGATATGCATTGCAGCAACTTCTGTTGCATGGTTCTGCCATCCTAGCTTTCAGTTAGTGCATTTTTTCTGAGTTCATCAGAATTCTGTTAAGCACTGATCAGAATCTGCTCTCCTTTCCCTTCCTCTTTTAAATAAAAACTGTTGCACTTGACCCCTGCAAAGAGAAAATATTTATCCGGGTTGGCTGTATAGCACTATTAAAGCCTGGCTCCAAAGCTGAGACAGTTGGAGTGAGGCAAAGGAGAAGTCTACAGAAAAGGGAAAAAAGGAGTAAGCATTTCAAAGAAAGGCCTCTAAGGCAATATAGCAAGAGTATATGGATGAGGCCTATAATCAGGTACATATGCTTATTTAAGGGTTACAGACTTCCCGTGAAAGAGAAAAAACCTTCAGCCTCTGTGCCAATGTGGGAATAGTGCTAAAGGAAACAATACTAAGGCCATGGAAATGGTACACCAATGCAGCTGGATCGCCGTAAGCTCTAAGCTAATTGGAGAGAGTGCTCCCATCAGCTATCTACTCTAGCCTCATGAGCAGCAACAGCTACGTTGGCAGGAGATGCTCTCTTATCAATATAGTGCTGCCCACACAAGCGATGTAAAAAATGTTTTAAAAAGTAACTGCTAAAAATCTTAGCGGTTACATCTGCTGCAGACTCTGCTGCATAAGGCTTATACTGCAGAGCCCACAGCATGGTGCAGCAGCTAGCTCCTGGAGCAGAGCTGAGAGCTGGCTTGCATCTGCAGATGAGTAACTGCAACCAGAACTGATAAGCTGATGCTTATCGGTTACACGCTTACATCCCTGGCACTTGTTGGTATAACTTAGGTTGCTTGGTTTGGGGGGGCAATTTATTCACACTCCTGAGCAACATACATTATGAAAATAAACTATAGCACATACATAGCCTCAGAAACCTACATCAAGTGGAGAAAAACTATTGAGGTCAGGCAGGGCTGAAGACTGTCTAGATGACATAACCAAGTTTATGCACTAGGACAAGGGTAGCCAACCCATTTAACAAAGAGAGCCAAAACAGCGGCAGAAAAAATGCAAAGAGCTGCACTAAACTTGTCAAGAAAAAAAAAAAGCCCCCCAGAACAGAATTGTCAAGCAAAACCAAAAAAATGAAAACCTTTTAAAAAAGAAAAAAGAGGCTGCCCCTTTAAGACGGCCACCATTTTATTCACCATTTTTTAACCCCCGCAGCTCCGACCAGGTAAGCCGGAGGCGGAGGGGTGTTGGCAGGGACTATTGAGGGGATGCAGGAGCAGCTTCGTGAGCCACATTTTTGGGGGGGGTGACAAGAGCCGCATGTGGCTCGGGAGCCACAGGTTGGCTATGGCTTCACTAGGAGGATAGATATTACTGAAGCAAAAGGCTACTGAATTGTGTGATAAGCTGGGGTACCAATTTGTGTGCAACTTAGATATCATAACCAATCAGAATTCATACTACTAAACCTCAATATGTAGATCAGCCACGGACTGACCAACACCCTACGCCACATAACACATTGGCTGTTTGGAAGATGCTACAGAAGAAACAAAAGAGGTCATTATCTTTAAATGACTCTGCTCTGCCAGGATAATGGATACGCTAAGTAGGTTGCCTGAACTAAAAGAATCCAGAGTGAAGGGGAGGGAGAAAGGACCGGAAATGAAGGAGAGTTTCCAGAACCTGCTGGCTGTGGAACCAGCCAAAGCAAGCTGACTGCACAGGTCACAGAGACATGCCATGATTTGGAAGAAAAGCCATGCACACTGGAGAAGGGCAGCTTAGCAGTGGGAACCTGGAACCCTGAGAGCATGGACCCAAATCCTAAAGAACATTCAAGAACAGTAAAAAAATCAAGATAGGAAACAGTAAGTATTTATTTTAGCTCAATCTGTTTCTCTCTTGTGCTGTCTAAAGTTAGAGTCATTTGTTTAGAAATCCATTGCACAATCTCTGACTGCTTGAACTATTCTGTGTCCCTGAAGGGACAAACTAATCCAGAATGCCCACAAAAGAGGAGTTCTGGGAAAGGGTGTAACTAAGTTTGTATGTTATGTTTGCTTTCTTTTTTTGGGGGGTGAGGATAGGAGTGGGTATCCAGCAGCAGTCCTCAAGTCCCATTTTGAGGAGGAGTGCAGTCCATGCCCAGCAAGTGTGCCAGAGAGGCTAGAAATCCATCAAGTGACAAAGGGGCCCAGCGTGAGGATCCAAACACAGCAGCCTGGTGAGTGTCTCAATGAAGTCTGTCCAGAGGGTTAAAAACCCATCCCCCTCCATTCCAAATGAAACTGAGGCAGTGATGTCAGTAAGGTAGGCCAAACTAATATGGTACACAACCAAATTTTACCTCTGCAGGTCATCTTTGATGGCAAGAAATAAAAAAAGTTCACTCAGTAAATAGCTGACACTATTAGGCAACTGCTTTGTAGATTTCTTTTGTAAACTAGATAATTTAAAAATCTTGATTTACTTGGGTGAAACTAGAAAGAAATTTAACCAAGTTAGCAAGCCTCATCTTACTACAAAGCCAACACAGAAAATTAACATTTTTGGACTTCAAATGCTTATGCCTTTTTCAGCATGGGAAGGAAGTTAAATGTCAGATGTTGCTATATGTAGAGGAACATCATGAATTTGAGAAATCAATATATGAAGGTATTGGAGAACTGTTAAGCTTTTGATCCTGAACAAACTCCCCCATCCAAAATCCCAAGACTGTACATGATCTTCTGGACTTTTTATTGTTAAAATAACTTGCTCCTTTTATAGGAAGCCTCTCACTGTTATCTCAAGAAAGCGAACCCTTTTAATTCTTACATGATATCCAACATCCCTAGTAATTGAATAGTTGTGAAACGGCATGAATTTCTTAGCAGTTACACAGCTATTCGATAGACCCCCAGGGACAGGGCCGGCAGCCAGTGCGCTCCCGGCCTCACTCCTGGGGAATCCCCTGCCACCCTGCCCTGCCTCTGGTACAGAGGCAGCAGTGCAGGGTGGCAGGTGGGAGCTGGTCCACAAGGGAAGCCAGTGTAAAAACCAGCTCCATACGCAGACTGGCTGCCTGCTGTCCCACACTGCTACTTCTGATATACAGGCAGGAGCCCATCTGCAGGGGGCCCAAGCTCCCCACAGACAGAGGTTGCTTCACAGCAGCCTCCTCCCCACCCACTGTGGGTAGGCAGCACTGCAGAGCTGGTGTTAAGGGGAGCAGGTCTGCAGAGCCAGCACATATGGGGAACCTGCTTAAAAGCTGCGAGGAGTCCTGTGGCACCTTATAGACTAACCGAAGTGTTGGAGCATAAGCTTTCGTGGGCAAAGACCCACTTCGTCAGATGCATGCTGATGAAGTAGGTCTTTGCCCACGAAAGCTTATGCTACAACACTTCAGTTAGTCTATAAGGTGCCACAGGACTCCTCGTCGCTTTTGCAGATTCAGACTAACACGGCTACCTCTCTGATGCCTAAAAGCTGCTGCCTCCTCACCCTCCACACTGCTGCCACTGTAACAGAGGCAGTAGTGCAGGGGTGGGGAGGGCAGGCGGATCTGGTGGTAGTGAGGAGCCTGCTAACAGCCAGCTCTTCATGGGCACTGGCTCCCGCTCCCAACTTGATGCCTCTGATAGGCAGTGGAAGGGAGTGGATATGTGTAATCGACAAGATTAATCAATAAAACCAGGCTTATTGGTTAATTGTGTAGTTGACTACACATTGACATCCCTAATACTTACTGTCTGCTACTATTATTTATCCTCATCTCCCTCACCCTTTACTACTGCCATTGTTAAACTTGGGGATGTCAATTACGGATTAAATGAATAATCATGTAACCACACAAATCATCATCAGTCACACAACTATTCAGTTGTCCCCAGGAGCAGGGCCTGCAGGCAGTGCACTCCTGGTTCCACTCCTGGGGAGCTCCTCCCCCTGTGAATAGGGGTTTGCTGCCTCTATATCAGAGGCAGCAGCACAGGGTGCCACACAGGAGCTGGACCGCGAGGGGAGCAGTCCAGACAGTGGCTGCTTCGTGGCAGCCTCCCCTCCTGTGCTGCTGCCTCTGATACAGGCAGCAGTGGAGGTGCGAGGAGGCAGCACCGCAGAGATGGTGCTGGGGGGGGGTTCAGCTTTTGATACAGAGGCAGCAAGTGGGCGGGGGGGGAGAATGCCTAGGCGTACTGGGTAGTCGACTACTCGCTTACATCCCTATCTAGAACATCAGCTACTTAACTTTCTCCTTGTTTAAAAAAAAAAAAAAAAAAAAATTACGCTTCTAGGGTTTTTTTAAACCATTAACCTAGCAAGATTTCAAATACTACAGGAGATTCTGCTTAATAGCAACCTAGATATTGACAGTTTTGAAGGGAACCAATCCTGTCCCATTGACTTTAATGTTAATAGAATTTAGATATCGTCAACAGCTTGCTACTAAACAACATATCTTGGAAGAAAGCCTCCCTTCTCCCCCTCCCCGCCACAGGCTGGCTTGCAGGGGTACAGGAAACCAGGAAAGGAAGTGCTGGGACATGCTTTCCCCAGCTGCTCAACTCAGCCCACTGCTCCTTTTTCTGGCTGCTGCCCTATAAACCTGCACACAAACAGGGACTGCACAGCAGGAAAGGAGGGCTGCACCCCAGATCCTGGAGCTGAGCGGTATCTCCTCTTGCACTCTCCAGATTATGCCCTCTGCCAGAGGACTGGAAACAGGGAAGAGGTGATAGGACATGCCACGCCCTGACCCCTGGAGAGTGCAGTGTAGTCTTACTAGCCCCCAGTGCTCAAACAAAGTCTAAGCTTCCAGTATGCAGCTGCCTCCTCTGCTGCTGACCTGCCCCCAGCAGGTTATCAGGGTTGCAGCCAGTAAAGGAACAGCCAAGCACTTCCTTCCATCGCTGAAGCTACGCAATACTGTCTTCCGCTTATTAGCAACTGCCAGATAATGGTAACTCTTTGCTTGCAACCAAAGGTTGCTAATAAATCAAATCTATTGTACTTAACAATGCTAATGTTAAAAAGTGCATTCTCTTCCTGACCCCACCATTTTTGTATGAATAACCTTAACTATATGTACAAAGTTAGGGGGTCTAATTTAGCTGTTACTATCCCCAAAGAGAGATCTTTGAGTCATTGTTAATAGTTCTCTGCAAACATCCACTCTCTCTGCAGTAGCAGTTAAAAAAACTAACAATGTTCGGAACCATTAGGAAAAGGATAGATAAGACAGTTGCATTATGGTATTTTCTATCTAGATCCATGGTGTGTACACACCTTGAATACTGCATGCAGTTCTGGTTGCCTCATCTCAAAAAAAGGATTAGAATTGGAAAAGGTACAGAGAAGGCAAAAAAATTATAGGTATGGAACAGTTTCCATATAAAGACACATTTAAAAAAGCTGGGACTTCTGAGCTCAGAAAAGAACTATTAATGTGTGTGTGTGTGGTGAGGGGGGGGGGGGAATAATAAAGAGACCTATAAAAAGACTGCTATGGAGAAAGTGAAGCATTTTTACCCCTTCACATAACACCAGAACTGTGGTCATCCAAAATTAATAAGCAGCAAGTTTAAAACAGAAGGGAGTACTACATCATACAATGCACAGTCTACTTGTGGACCTCATGGCTAGGAGATGCTGTGAATAGTAAAAATGTGTTAAAAAAGAATTAAGATACGTTCATAAAGGATAACTTAATCAATGGCTATTAGCAGGGCTCACCGCAGTGAAGATCGCCCAAACCCGGCTCTTCCAGGTTACAATCTACTCGCCACGGCTGAGTAGATTGTATTATTTGTCGAGCCCTGGCTATTAGCCAAGATGTTCAGAAATGCAATTTCATGCTCTGGGTGTCCTAAGCCTTTAGCTGCCAGAAGTTAATAGTGGATAACTCAATTTTCCTGTTGTGTTCATTACCTCTGATACTGACCACTGTCAGAAGACAGAGTACAAGGCTAGGCAGACCATTGGTCTGACCCAGTGGCTGTTCTTACCTGTTCAGCAAGGAGTTGTTGCTGCCTCTGTCCTATTAGGAACTGCTGCTTCTGTTGCTCCATCAGCAGATGCTTTTGTTGCTGCTTCTGCTGGTCCAGTAACATCTGGTGTTGCTTCATTACCACTGCTTGCTGCTGATTGCTGAGATAGGCTGTGTTGTTATGGTTACCTGCCAGGGAAACACTGGAAGGCTGAGTACTGACTCCAGGGCCTGGGACAGAAACAGGAACACGAGGAACACTGGGAGAAGGGTTTTGATCCTGCAGAATATAAACATTAGTTATAGGAATGGCTTGGGCTCTACTGATTCTACACATGCTATATGAACATATTGAGGTCAGCAAGATAATCACTCATGACAAATAATTACATACCTAGAGCATGGCAAAATACTCTTATTACTTTATCTCCGGCAGGACAGGAGTCATAAAAATATCCCTAAGAAAATAGGCACTTGGCAAGCCAAATCTGTGTATGTTTTTACAGTTCATTAATAAAACTTACCGTAAAAAATGAGTGTAAAAACAAATAAATCTAGCAAAATAATTTTAATCAATCTAGAAGGCATCAGATTAACCCATGACAATGCCAAATTAACTGCCTGGGAAGCAAGGAGAAATGTTTATGAAAGGCCATACATGAATAAAGTGATTAGAGGAAGATCAGGAGCTACAAAACATTCATGAAGGGAAGCTGCAGTGTTAATCTTATTTACAACACTTCCCCACACTTCACAACCTATATGCTTCTATACAAGTAGAAGCACATGCCAGTTATTAATAAAAAAATTAAGGGGAAAAAAATTCACCAATCCCCACCCGGTCAACATGCTAGAGTTCCTGTAGTGAACTATTTATTAACCTTTACTCAATTAATCTTTGCTATACGTCCATTTTTTTAAATGTATCTGGGACATATAACGGGAATGCCCTGTATTGTGAACCAAAAGTAATTGATATGGAACTGCCAATAATGGCTGGTCTACAAAGCTAGAAAATATAGCTAGTTAATTTATTTTATTAATATCTTTTATTATTTCAATGCACATGAGCATATGGATCAGCCCCCAAGTCAGCAAACATGAAAAAAATATCTGTTTGGGTGTTAATGTTCCCCTCCCCCCCCCTTTTTTTTAATCAGTGCAGTGTTAAAGGTGACTTACAAAGGGGAAAAACTGGAATGATGCTTTTTATAAAGCACAAAGCAGCTCTGATTTACAAAAAAAAGTCAGCTTGGTCTTTATCTTAGAAGCACCAATTTATGTCTTTACTATTTTTTGATTGAAATCATTTTGAAGGACCACATTACTAGAGAAAGAGCTCTGACCGCCTCTAGTTAGTTTTTAACAAAGAACTTTTATCTCAACTGTTCAACAAGCATGTCTTCTAGGCATTAAATACTAGAGTTCTAAATATTCTGACAAGTCACTCTCAGCTGCACAGATTTGAACTTGTGACATCATTTGTGTTTTTGTATTAGGGATGTTAAGAACTAGTTGACTAGTCAATTATCTGATAAGCAAATGTCAGTCCCCCCCCGCTACCTCTGATAGAGGCAGCAATGGGAGGAGGCAGCAATGGGAGGGAGGGGAAGAAGGGGTACTTAAAAGCAGCAGAGCTGCACAGCTGAGCGATACTGCCACTCTGGAACCCGTATCCGTGGCTCAGCTGTGCTGGCGCTGCCCCTTTAAAACGCCAAAGCGCCATGGAGCCGGGGTCAGCTGGGGACTCCCTAGCTAACCCCAGGTTCCAAGTGGCACTTCCCCAGAACCCAGGGTCAGCTGGGGACTCCCCAGCTAATCATGGATTCCGCTGAAATGCTGCACGGAACCTGGGATCAGCTGTGGAGTCCCCAGCTGCCCCCGGGCTTCATGGCACTGCCCCTTTGAATGTCGCTTCAGTGTTTAAAAGGGGCAGCTGCACAGCTGATCCCGGGCTCGGCTGTGCAGCATGGCCTCTTTGAAACACCACCTCAGCATTTCAAAGGGGCAACGCTGTGGAGCTCGGGGTCAGCGGAGGACTCCCCAACTTATCCCGGGCTCCGTGCAGCACTTCAGCAGAATGTGGGATCAGCTGGGGAGTTGGCTGCCCCACGAGCATGGCTGCTGGCTACTGCTGCTGCCCCCCCCATCAGGGGGTTCAGAGGAGAGTACTGCAGTGGCAGCCCATTTAAGCAGTTAACTTATTAACTGGGATTTTATATAATGTGTATCCTATTTGTTCTGCAATCTTCCAGGAATAACAGGATAGATAAGACATGGATTTTTAATGTAAAACAAGCATAATAAGCCTTTGGGGGGGAATATACTATTCCTTTATATTCCTACCTGAGGTTCTACCCCCTTCTGCCTGAGGCCCACAACCACTGCCAAAATACATGAAGTGCCCTTCCCTTTGCAAAAATTATTGCCTACCTCTGCTCTACAACAACACAGTCCCTGTCTCCCCTCACCCCACTCCAGACATCTGCATGCCCTTTTCCTCCCCAGAGTCCAGCCATAGAGCAACACCCAGCCGGGACACTCGCACCCCTTGCCCGCCAGAGCCCAGGAATCTGGGGGAAGAAAGACACCTGTTGCTATGTCCCAGGCTTGTATAGAGTTTCCTGCATGGCACCCTCTTTCATGCAGGAAACTGCAGCTGCCAAGAATCCTTCAGTACCTTCCCCCCCAACCCCCGGGGAACATCGTCTACTGTATTTGCAAAATGGGTTCTGCTGGCTTTAGCAGCCCGTAGCAGTGGCCAGCAACTCTGCAGCTTATTTCTGCAAGAGAAAAAGGAAATGCTGCACAGAACATTAATTCTGTGCATTGCACAGTGGCCCAGAATTCTCCCAGGAGCAATACTGCCTTAGGCAAACAAATGTTACCACAGTTAATATCCGTGGTGGGAGTTAAGAGAAGAAAACATACATCTCAGATTTTGGAGAGGCTTGTAAGACAACCAAACTTGGAATTTCACTTAAACACAGTCCAGGCTGCTTCAGCTAGAAAAGACTGAGGGGAGTCCTGCAATCCAAACCCCTTTCTCTAACCCAACCCCAAAACCTGCATCTCCAACCAGAGCCCTCACCTTCTCCCATACTCCAAACTTTTCAGATCCACCCCTCGCTACACATCACTTCCGTATTTGTGCACGTAAAATACATTCCACACATGGATGTATACAATTAGAGGGGAATATTGTACCTAGCCCTATGCACCCAGCATTCCAAGATGTGTTAGCTTACAATGATAAGAGCCCCAAACATTTACCTGACTGTGTGGTACTAGAGGTCTGTAGGCAATATTTCCAGGCTTCTGCTTCATCACAAACATCCCATTTTGTTCTTCACTCATATGAGGCAGTGATTGTTGTTGGCGTTGCTGCAGATATGCCAATATAGGTGTCTTGCTCTGGCCAGGTACTGTAACTCCTTGCTCACACTCCGCTTTATAATGTGAAAGAGGTTTTGTGTTGCCATAGTCCAGCATGGAGCCTTGGCTATTTACAGGATTCTGGTTCAGGCTGTTTGGCTGATGACTCAACATATTCACATGGTAATTGCCTCCAGTCCTGGGAGAATTCTTATTTGCCATACCAGGAATGATGAGTTTCTGGTTACTGAAGTCCTGTTGGTAAACTGAAGGACTGGTGGGATTCTCCATTGTGTAGGGGACACCCAGTGGACTATGAGAAGGTCCAGACTGCTGCCAGCTGGACATCTGATTGGCTTGGTGGACTTGTGAAGCCTGCTGCTGGTTCTGCAACATCTGTTCTCTTTTCTGCTTAGCAGCTATCTGTTGAAGTTGGTGAGCAGAGGACATTTCTTTGGCATTTCCTGTGCCCTGTCCAGATAACAATACATTGGGTAGAGGCCTCTGCACATTTTGAGATGGGTTTGATGCCTGCATCATGGACTGATTAGGATTTTCAGTCAATGGCTGACTGGAAGGCTGGAACATAGTTTGAGAACCACCAACTGCTGAAGAAGCAGCACTAACAGGTATAGAGGAGGCCCCAATGAATGCTGAACCTGAAGAAGTGGATCTGACTTGTGGAGACCCTATCTGTTCCTGCTCAAAGGCTGCTGGGGAATATTCAGTCTTTATGTTAATGTCCTGGGGCAATGGAGTTTGTGCAGCTGAATTTGAAGAATCTGCATCCTTCTTCTCCTCAAAGTCTTCATTAAATAGATCCTTCATGTCTTCATCAGGCACTGATCTATTAAGTTCATCAATGAGCTCCTTCCATTACTGCTCATTAAGATTAAGATCAGGCATCAAGTTGTTCTGAGATATAGAACCGCCTGCTCCAGCAATCATACAAGGAAGATCATCTACTGGCTCTTGCTTGAGCTCTTTGTTCAAACTCAAAGGAAATGAATCATCAGCATCACTACGTCCATTCATGTGAAGGTTAGAATCTGGAGGACACTTTTTGTTGATGCTATCCAATCCTATTGAACGCTTTCCATTGACCTGTAGGGTATCTCCACCAGAAGATTTCTTGTCAAGTTGATGTAGTGGCGATAAAGGAGGCATGCCATTGGATGAGCCACTTACCCCAGCAAGATCCTCATGACGTAATTTCTTGGACACAGAAAACATATCCCCATACCCATTCTGTTGATCTCCATTCTGAGGGGAAGCAGCACTATCAAGTTTTCTTTTCACGGTCTCATGGAGCTGCTAAAAAAGAAAAAGGTCATTTTAAGTTTAGTTTTATGTGTTTCACCATTTATCTCCTACCATCCTCAAACATCGGAAGGCTAAAGTTTCCACTATAATGGCACACTTCATAGTGAGCTAATGTTTCTGAACCAATTAATTGTATGCACAACTTCAAGATATGCTTAAGAAAACAACTCTTGAATGCAAGAGCAGCCTACAAAAATGGAACGTAGTGCTTTCCTTTGTTATGAACAAACTCTTTTGCCATAAGTCTTCTGCTTAAGATACAGCAGGTCTAGACTAGGTCTTCAAAAGCATCTTAAATCATAGTTTCCTGCTTTGAATAACAGATGCAGAAAGAAGCTGAAGAATTTAAAACCTACAGAAAATGAGAAAATGTTGTGTATAGAAATTTAACCTTCCCCCCTTCACTATAAGCCATATATGTAGTGGCCTCTTGTTTATATGCTAAACAGCTCATCATTGTAAATTTTTTGTATATAAATCACATTGCTTTGTTTAGTGCAAACACTGACCCCGCCCCCTCTATAAACACCTTTATGATTCACACTTCTAAAAGTGATTCAAAGCACACTGATCAGTGTTCTTATATCACACCGGGATGAATTTGAGTGACATTTTCTTCCCAGATTATTTAATTGATGTATCAATGGCGGAAGTGTGTACGCTAAGCAAACAGCTCACTGCTAAGCATATAAAATTAGCTTGCCTCAGACTGTACATACAAATTTTCTTATTTCATAGTGCCATCTAGGAGCAAGTAGAGGGAACAGCATCAGATTCTAGTCAGCCTTGTTATTACAGAAGTTTGGGATCTCCGTTCATTTTATCTTCTCTGGCAGCACTCCCAATCTATAAACTTGCTATCAATTAAAGATGTTAAATTTCAACTAATCAGCTAATTGAGTAGCCCCACTGTCACAGCTGTGCTGCTGCCTTTTAAATGTAGCAAGAGCCTTACAGGAGTACTCAGACCTGGTGGGAGCGGGGACTGCTTGAGTCTCCACTCGCACTGTTTCTCCCACTGCTCTTCTGCTTCTGACTATTACTAGACTTACTGGGTAGTCGACTAGTTGCTTACATCCGTACTACCAGTGATGCTAAACAAGGCTTGAAGAGTATCCTGCAAAAACCAAAGATAAACAGGAACATTTCCCAGCAAATGTGCAGAAACAAAGCTTCATTTTAAAAAAGATGTGTCACGTACACTGGGATATTATATGCAAAGTCTTAGCATAAACACATCACAATAGAAGAGCACTGTGTGTTGAGAGCATGGAGATTTATGCTATCACTCCCTCATCTGGGATGCCGAAGACCCCTACACGTAGCCTTCAGTAGGGATGGCTGCAGAATCCTCACAAGCAGTATGTGTCTTGTGTCAGCCAGCGCCACCACGATACAAGAGCACAATACAAGGTAGAAGAGAAGTCTGTCTTTTTTTACTAGATTAAATGGACCTTCCCAACTCAGTCCTCTGCTCCCTGTTACGAGTGGAAGGAATCCAGCTAAAGGGAAGGGAAACCTCAATGTCCAATCATTCAAGCAGAAAGTTGTGTGCAGCATCAGTATACGTGGATTTTGGAGGCATGAGAGAAGGAAGGAGTTACATAACATATCTGGGAGGAACCATACGCTGATGTAGTGATCAACAGAATTAATTAATATATCAAAATGGTAGCCAAATATCAATTGATTTTCAGAGGAAACACTGATTATTTTGATATCTGCCTAGGTGGGGAGAGCAATATTTTAATCTGAAGCATAGAATTCGGCAAGCAGGAGAGTGTGATCTTCCAGCTCTATACTGAGAACAGATGGAAGAGGTATCTGACCACTTGAAGACTAGACAATGGGTAATGTCTGAGGATGATAGAATACTCTATAGCTTAGACTAGGAATGCTGCATAAATTTTTCAAGCCTTAGATAAAGAAAAGATGGATACAAAATAAGTTTTTTTAAACTGTCTGTAATTAACTGATCAAGAAGCACAGTACTGATGCAATATTTACCTTTCAAAACGTTTCCTTTGTTTAGTCCATTTCTCAATTGGGATAACTGAAGCACAAGGCACTTTGCCTACGGTCACATAGCAAATCAGAGGCTCAGATCAGAAACAAGATCCTCCTTTGCTTTAAATCATTATACACCATCCATCCATACTCCCATGCAGATAGCTCCAGAAAGAGTGAAATCTAAAAGCGATAACTGAACTTTTAATACTGAACAGGCTTCCCATAGTTGGAGCAAATTCTTATGTTAGATACATATGCCTTACAGCTTTCATAGCATCTCCTCAAACTTCAGAAGCTTCCGATTCATTTGAAAGCCCATTGGTGTTAAAATGATCGTTAGTGCTCAGATATCTGACCACAAAAGGAGAAAAAAAAAAAAAAAACTCACCTCAAGCTGCACTTGTATCTTTGCTCCCAAGCAGAGTGATTTTAAAAAAAGAACAAACCATCCTTGCATAAAATTGCACCACGTATACAGGCATTAAAGTGATATTTAAGAATTCATTAAGATCCTTAATACCTTGCTTAGCCTCATCAAAGTCAGAGGACATTTAAAAGACATATGAGCCTGTATTCAGCAGTCTGTACAGATTAAGGATGTGAAAGTGTAACCATCTACATGGTTACATGTAGGGCCTCATCACCACCACACAGGGGGGTGGAAGGGTAGGAGTGAGCTGGCGGGTGCAGGTAGCCAGCTTTTAAGCCAGCTCCTCGCATGTATCACTTTGCCCCTCACGGCTGTCTCTGACACAGAGGCAGCAGCACAGGGAGGGGGAGAAGAGAGGTGGAAGCCACAACTCCGCTCCTCACATGTAACTGCTGAAATTTGGTGGTTACACATTTACTTGAAAAACAATGCATCAGAGGCAGCAGTGCAGGCATTGCTGGCAGTTGGGTCAGCAGGAGACCGTACATGCAGGCAACCGGCTT